AATGGTGAAGAATTATTAAAAGAAACCACTTCTCTGTGCTGCTTTTGCCAATGGAAATTTTACCACTCTATTCATGGAACTATACAGGCTCCCTCTGCTAGCACTTTATCGTAAATATATTTAGGGTTTTTTCCTTCTCTGTATGCTCCTTGAAGCCACATTAGACCAGCTTTATCCCAGTAATTTACTGTATTTTTTCAGCGTGTACACTTAATAATGGATATAATTCAGTAAATGAAGACATCAAAGGGAAAAATGGTGTTGATAGAAGAAGTCAGGCTTTGGGAGTCTGTTCTGCCTTCTATTCTGTTCACAGGACTCTGCTGTCCGTTACTTTGGTTTTGCTCTAGTGTAGTAAGGAGAATACAGACCAATAAGTGTAAAATAAGAATGATGTTCCTATTGTATAGCCATTTATACTTTCATGCAGTCATTCTTAGTGTTAAGTAATCCAGCTAGTACCAATCCAATCAACTACTTTATTACGTGTAGGGGAGAAGGAATTACATTGGAACACTTAATCAATATCAGTTAATCAATACAATAATATTTGCTAACAAAATAGGATTCTGTTAGAGGAACCCACGACTTCCTTGCCTGTAAGGATACCGGAGAACGCCAGGAACCCAGTTTTATAAGATAGCTGTCACACAGTGTTATCAGACTGTCTGCTACTTCAGGAGAAAAGAAGAAAATCATAAAAGAAAATGCACGGAATCATAGAATAATTTGGGTTGGAAGGGATCTTTAAAGGTCATCTAGTCCAATCCCCCTGCAGTGAGCAGGGACATCTTCAACCAGATCGGGTTGCTCAGAGCCCTGTCCAGCCTGACCTGGAATGGTTCCAGGAATGGGGCATCTACCACCTCTCTGGGCAACCTGGGCCAGTGTGTCACCACCCTCAGTGAAAAAAAAAGTCTCCCTTATATCAAGTCTAAATCCACCCTCTTTTAGTGTAAAACCATTACCCCTTTGTCCTATCACAACAGGCCCTGCTAAAAAGTTTGCTCCATCTTTCTTATAAGCCCCCTTTAACAACTGAGAGGCTGCTACAAGGTCTCCCCAGATCCTGCTCTTCTCCAGGCTGAACAACGCCAACTCTCTCACCCTGTCCTCACAGCAGAAGGGGTCCAGCTCTCTCATCATCTTCATGGCCTCCTCTGCACATGCTCCAACAGGTCCACAACTCTCCTGTACTGGAGAGTACTCTCTACTCCAGAGCTGGACGCAGTGCTCCAGGTGGGGTCTCCCCAGAGCAGAGCAGCAGGGCAGAATCACCCCTCAAGTTGTATTTAAGTGTACGTAGGACAATGCAAAGTAGTTGAACGTGTTTAAATAATCTTTATTAAACTTGCCATTAAAATAAAATAGAAATCAGACTTCTTGTGATTACTAATTGATATATTTCTCCAATCTGCATCCAAACTGATTTGTTAATGTAAGCCTGCTGTTAAGCTGACCAGCTTAATGTTGTAAAGCTGCTCATGCCTTGTCAGCGAAGCACTGAATTTGAGGGGTCTCAACCACGATATTAATTACACCTAAGGAAAAACAAGCAATTCTGCAGGAAAAAAAAAAAAAACAAAAAAAACCACAACAGCGCAAACATAAGAAAAACAAGCAGGTGTCTTCAAAAGTTTCCCCTATCACAATTACCAAGATCACGTTAGTCAGGGTGACCTGAGAATCAAGTTACGGCCCAGCAAATTGTTGCAATTAAGGAAATCAACATCTACTAAGCACTGTTAATAGATGAAAATGTGTATAGTAGACCCAAGTCCTTTTCTTTCAAATATTCATCCTCAAGGCAAAATCCCCGAGTACAATTCAGTGACAAGAGAATGCTGTCTGGATTACAGCACTCTACAATTTAGCTCTTGCTCTCTACTAGAATTATAATCTAGCTGGTTAAAGCTTTGCAGCTTCCACCTCTGCTATTCTTAGTACCTCACAACTGCATATTGTGGCACTCGTAATAATCTGAGAAATACGATATTGCAATTCTTAGTGCCAGGATATAAAATAGGGGTGCTGGTTAATTCGCAGCAGGAGTCTCCTTCCTGCTTCCCAAATGTTCAGTCTGACTGTTAGCAATTTATAACATTTAAGAAACAGTGAAAAGCTCACTAGTTTTCCTGCATTGACGAATCTGAAGTACTTAATGGTGTGCTGAACCATTCACTAGCAGAGTCTGGCAGCTTGCAGTGAATATAAAGTTGACACTGTAGAAGTCTACTTGTTGTTTTGTTAATTGTCCAGGCTCCAGCGGTTTGAGATGGACAATTTTAACAGACCAAGGGAAAAAGCCCTTCAGGACAAAGTGATAGAGAATATTTACCTCCTCCTCAGTATTTGAAAGGTTTCCATATTCAGCTAAGGATTCTCCACACGGCATCCAGTTGTAGCATTCAGTGAGGTCCTAACATACAAACAGATGTTCATTTCTGGTTTTATAGACTTCAAAGTTCACTAGTTTCAAGTTTTAAAAACCTCTGCAGCTGAAGGTCTTCAAGGCAAGCAGAAGCAACAGGACTTCTGGGTGCGTAAGGAATCCTTGAAACCACACAATACAGGCAGATAATTTGTTGCTATGTTTTCTTCTCTTTACAGTTTCCCTTGACAAATATTGCTGTACTTTGTCTAAACTTAATGGTCTGTGTCCTCGTCTCCCCTCAAGTGTACAACAGGTAGATATACTTACAGAACATAGATTGGACAATCTTTTAGACAAGAACAATGATAATATTTCCATCTTAGTTTAGATAAAAGACATCACCACACAAAAGAAAGACAGAAGTAAGTAACACAGTATGACAGAATCTTCTGTGTCACATATTGCAGGAGGCTCACAATCCGCTGTCTCTATTTGCAAAGTCCTTGAATTATAAGGATGTATCATGCAGAAACTATATGTCATGGCTGGATACCGTAACTACAGTTAACAATGACTGTTATTGAGCCAGTATGTCTATCGGGGGGGAATTAGGAAAATTGTAATAAAAAATAAAACGCATGGAACTTGTATTAAAGCATCAATAGGACAATGCCAAAAAAAAAAAAAGCCCACATTCTTTAAATACTCTTTCTTAAGAGTATGACAAAAAAAAGAGTTTAGAAACTAAAGATGTCTTTTTATGTTAAAGTTCACTTGAAAATTTCTTACTTTAAATATTTTTACATGGACTCCAAATTGTCACTTCTTTTTAGCCACACACAGAGAGTCCTCTGTATCCGTTGGTGTTTTTTTAACTCAGTGCAGCGAGGTGACCTGGTACTCTGTGCAGATGCCATCTGAAACAAAAGTGAACAGTTAACAACAGTCCTGGTAGAAAGAGTCAGCCCAGCCGCAGTGTGCTGTGCCTGGAGGGAGGAGGGGGTACAATCTGCAAAGGAGCTCTGTGCTTCAGCTGCTGACTTAGCATGTTGTCAGCATGAGCCTGGAGAGCATGGCTAATGGTGCCCACAAAGGGAAAACAGGGGCCAAGGTCACTCTGCAGCATTGTCTTGGGACACTACTCAGTTTGGGGACAGTCACAGAATTCACAGAATTGTTAGGGTTGGAAGAGACCTCTGGAGATCATCTAGTCCAACCCTCCTGCCAGAGCAGGGTCACCTACAGCACGTTACACAGGACAGCGTCCAGGTGGGTTTTGAATGTCTCCAGAGTGTGAGACTCCACCACCTCTCTGGGCAGCCTGTTCCAGTGCTCCACTACCCTCAAAGTAAAGAAGTTCCTTCTCATGTTAAGATGGCTTGGCTACTTGGCTCCTCTTAGTTTAGGCTTGATAGGAGCATATAAAGAGGCACAAGTAGCTGCTCCTAGGACACCTCCACTGAGACAATAGTTTTAAGTCCTTCTCCTGTTGATCACACAAAGAATCATTTGCATGAGATGCTCGTGCATCAAGTCCACATCAAGTTATTCCCTAATTTCGCCACTCAAAGTAGATAGATTCGTTCATAGATTTTCAGACCAGAAAAGACAATTTAGTCATAAGGACTCTCGAAGAACTGCACTAAGTGACTCCAGCTGAGCTAGCAAGCATGTGCTAGGAAGTCACCCAACAGGTGGAAGCACAACCTTAGAGGTTCTGGTATCAAGAGGGGCTGGAGGTAGGTGATAAATGGTAACCACAAGCCTGCCCAGAGCACTTCTCAGAAGAAGGGCAACTGATGATAGGACAGGGACTTTCAGCATGAACCAACACCCAGGGCTATTCTCTATCATGTGCTTGAATCACAAGCTGAGTGGGGCAAGCCCTGTAATCCCCCAAATTATGTGGGCATACTGCTCTTGCTCGTCAGTTAAGCAGTAAACATAGCAAGTTATAATGGAGGTACTAGTATTTGCATATCAAGATACCCAGCAAGCCAGAGCCAGAAGTGAAAAAGTTATTTAACACTTGATGCTCTGCGACAGAAGTCAGCTGGAGATCCAGAACATCCTGTCAGTCTTGGGAACATCCATACGAACCCAGTGGTCACACTTCCCTGCTGGGGGGGGTGCACAAAGGCTAGCGAAGCTGCCAGCGTGGCTTTCTCTCAGCCCGAAGCCTTTGGCAGGGGCTGAGACTGGCTGAACCTCCCCACAGCCAGAGCTGTAAGCGGGCTCTGCGATCTTCCAACAGCAGCACCTTCTCCTCAACCGGGCACCGCCAAACGCACCTCTTCCTTTGGGTACTCCACCTCCTTCCTTCTCGAAAACTAATGGGGCCATATTTCTAGTTTTCTTTCCATAGCTTACTTTTCTTTCGCATGCTGCAGACCTTCTATCCCTTCATTTTACCCTCCTTCTCTCTTCTGCTTCCCTCCCTTTCCCCCTCCCCCTGCTTTCTCTCCCTCTGCACTTTGTGAACTGCTGCTGCAGTGCTGAAGTCCAAAGTTCAGTAACTTGCTAAGCACACAGATAAATATGAACCTTGGAGAATTTACATTGCTCCAATGTAAACAGATAGCCAAGGGTCCCTTTATCAGCACTGGCTCAGGACAGTCGTGGGGGGTCTGAAGTGGCTCAATTTTGTATTTTGTTTTTTTTGGGGGGGCGTAAAGGCGGGAGGCTGTGCTGTGCCCACTCTCCTGACAGTCGAGCGTGTTACCTCGGGACCATGGTGTAGGGACGCTGGAAGCAGGATAACCCGCATTTCAAATCCAAGAGACACCAGCCTGAAGAACCATGGTCTCGAAGCTGAGTCATCTTCAAGTGGAGCTACTGGGAGCGCTGCTGGAGTCGGGGCTAACCAAGGAGACCCTCATCAAGGCGCTGAGCGAAGTGGAACCCTACGTGCTTCAGAGTGAAAGTCAGCGCGCTATCAATGCCCTCCAGACAGAGAAAGGGGAACCCTGTCCCGACATTCCCAATGGAATGGGGGAGTCCAGGTTATCGGAAGATGAAACCTCTGATGACGGGGAGGAATTTACCCCTCCAATAATGAAGGAGCTGGAAAACTTGAGCCCTGAGGAGGCTGCTCACCAGAAGGCTGTGGTGGAAAGACTATTACAGTAAGGACAGATTTGCTGCTCCTCTTTGCTGCTTTCTTGCACTCTTCCCTCTAAATCTTTTTTCCTTTCCCCTTCCCGCTCAGTGTCCCAGGTATTCACAGTTGATCCAGCTGCACAGAGACAGTCTTCATCCATGCCAGGACTAGCAGCCCCACACCACTCCCCAGATTCTTTATAAATGCTCAGACCTTCCTTTCATCTCACATAAAATGCATGGAGAAAGCCATAGAGCCTGATTACATATTTGAAGTGCTTCTATCATCAGGCTTCAGAACAGTCTGAGGCCTGTATAACTCTCATCTCTCTGACTGAATGTTGGATTTAAATTTTTAATAGGATTCACGATTTCAATCATCAGGGGAGGAAAAAACAACCAAAAAACCTGGTCACTGTTAACTAATGCTATATTTGCTTGAGGATGTACGGTAAAGTGAAGTTGTAATGTTTCCCTGCCATATTTAAGGAGATTAATATAGTTAATTTTACTGGGTTTTGCTATAGATTATTCATCCAAGACAAACCAAGAGAACTTTTTCTTGTCGTTCTTGTGAGTGCAAAGTTCTCCTGACTTCAGTGGGGGATTTTCTTGTAGAAAGAGCACACACCAAATACATGCAGAGGCTAAAACCTGGGCAGAACACTCTATTCTACCA